GGGGGGCAACACCTCCGGGCATATATCTCGCTTCTTTGTGCCCTGGGCTGCGGGAGGCGCGTCCCCGGATAACCAAAACGCCAAACTATAACACAGCAGCAGACTACACACTCAGCACGCATTGCAAGCACAGCAGTAGCATAGCAACACAGCAGCCAACCCATACAAGTACATAACAGCATGCTGCTGGGCTGCATCACTATAACTACAGACGGTTGCTACCAAGCAACACGGGGTTGCCAGCGCAGCAACCAGTTCAGAGTATTACAGTTCGTACCAGCTACAATACGTGTCTATGCTTCGGTTAGGAACCGCAGAGCAGCGTGGATCTACCCTCTCCTCCGCGCGTGTGCATCAACAGGTACAGCCACACATCATAGGCCCACGCATTACATATGGCATCGTCATCACAGCAGTTGCTGCACGTATGCCTCTCTGTCTCTCTTTGTGCTGGAATTCACGCTGCCTCTCTCGACTGAATCAAACTAACTGCTGCTGGGGCACGGAACAACTGCATACCCTGTCTTTACAAAGTCTTCCAACCGGGGGGGGGGGAGTGCAACACCTCCGGACATATATCTCGCTTCTTTGTGCCCTGGGCGATTTTTTACTGGCGGCGCCTGGAAAAAAAAAAAGAAAAAAAAGGAAGGAAGTCTAGTCTAAGCCTTTCTCTCTCGCGAAGAACCTGTATATCTCGACGACCACGACGTCGATTCACAAGTGGGCTTCTGCACATGATGCAGAGTGAGCAGGAGATGGCCTAGATGTGTCTGCGCTCTGAATGACTGTCCCCTTTTGTCCACTCTCGGTGCTGTTTTGCAGCGCACAAGCAGCACTTGTCAAAAAAATCATCATGTGCCTAACTACTGTATCTATCTTGACGTACGTACACTGCTGTAGCATTTCAACACAAAAGCCAAACACGCCATCGTCTCAACAGGAGGCCAGCGGCAGCACCACAGCGGTGATTCGAGCAACCGACATGTCGAGAGAGGTGGTGCCGCCTTGAGATCCGCGCCTGTGATGATGTGTGCAGTGAAAGATCCCGCCTGTTAAATAGTCTGCTGCTGCTGCTGCTGCTGCTGTACACATGAAATCTGAACGGCAATAATCGAGCATCAGATACCATCTCTGATCTGCCTGATCTCTGTCTCACCCAGTCATTCTGCACCACACCAGACCGCCTCACAAAAGAACAGCAGCAGTTGCTGGAGTGTAGTATGTTGCCACTGCGTCAGTGCGCCAACCGTATGCATACACATTGTTACACATACTCACGGGCTAGATTTTTAAGAAAATGTAGAACAAATTAAAGGAACACTGCCCGTTCGAGATAATACCACACTCAAGGTCATGTGTTGAAGTCTTTGCCGTGGGTGTCCAACGCGAAACTGAGTCACGTCCGCTTGTGTATGTCTTCGCTACAATACCATCAAACAAAAAACAAAAGCGAGGACAAAAACATGAGTGCACAGATGGGAAAAAAAGTGGAGGAGTAGGGATTTGAACCCTAGACATTTCGCATGCGAAGCGAACACTCTACCCCTGAGCTACACCCCCGTCTGTTAACCTACCCATGTTCGTTGCACGACTAACCCGGTCACGGCGAAACACAGTTGGTATCTTCGGAGCCTTCTACGATGGTACACTAGTGGCCAGAGTCAGGGGTTCGAATCCCGCCTTAGGCGAGGTGTTTTTCTCCCAAATAATATGTTTCTCTCTCTGCCGTTCCTGATAGCGGAAAGCGTTCGCGTGTACACTTGGAGGGAAAAGAGTGCTGCACTGCTGTTAATGCGTTAAAAATCGAAGGCAAGAAGCGCAGGAGGGGTGGAGGGAGAGGAACCCTTCTGCTGTACGACCACGGATTGGAGTCAGCTCCTACCCAGAACAAAGGCCGTGAGCTGCGAACGCTGATGTGATGGAACACACAAAAAAAAAAACAGGACAGAGAGCACAAACAACAGAACGGGATTCTCGACCTACGCATACGGCACTTCATAACTCAGCGCACAGGTCGGAAAAAAAGTGGAGGAGTAGGGATTTGAACCCTAGACATTTCGCATGCGAAGCGAACACTCTACCCCTGAGCTACACCCCCATCCGTTAAGACCCCTGAATTCGCTGCACAAGTAAGGCGGTCGCCCTGGGAGTCTAGTTGGCATCCTCGCAACCTGGCAAAAGTGAAAGTTTTGTACACCCATGGGTACGCAAATAACCCATGCACCCATGCCCTCGACAGACCGAAAACACCACCTGCACTATTGTATGACGTGCGTGTGTCCCTTCAACCAGCAACGAGTTGATTTGCAATCACAGCAACCTATTAGTGCCTCTAAAACCTAGATGCTCTGCTTTGGCAGGGTCACGAAACCGGCTAAAAACCCTAATGCTAACCCCAACCCTAACCCCAAACCCACCCGATAGGTGCTAGGTTGGCGCTGGGTGGCTCAGTTCTAGGTTGATGTGCCATGCTTGGCGCTAGAGTGGTGTTGACGGGGAAAACTCTAGGTTGTTACTGCTTGGATAGGTGCTAGGTTGGCGTTGATGGGATAAATCTAGGTTGATATTGCCTGGAGAGGTGCTCGGTTGGTCCTGGCGTGGCTAGGTTGGACCTTCGAGTAGGGGCTAGGTCGCTCTCGGGTGGTAAACGGTGTTCGTGCAGGTCTGTATAGGCGGGACTGCCAACTTGTGGGTGCATGGCGTACGTGCGTACCCATGGGGGCATTTAATATTCTCCTCGCAACCTTCTAATTAGTGGCCAGGGTCAGGATTTTGAATCCCGGCGTAGGTAAGGCGAGCATTTTCTTGCAAAGTGAGGTGTTTCTCTCGCTTCGGTTCCTGGTACTGGAAAGCGCTTATGATACTGTAATAGTTCGTGTGTACACGTTGAGGCAAGAGAGTGCCGTGCTGCCCTCTTCCCGGGTAAAAATTGGAAGGCAAGCAGCGCAGGAGGGGTGAAAGGAGAGGAACCCTTCTGCTGTTTGACCACGGGTTGGAGCCAGCTCCCATCCTGCAGAAATGCTGTGAGCGGCGAGCGCGGACTTTTTTTTTTTAAATATGTTTGTTGCCTTCACATTAAAAACCGTAAAACACAAAAAACACACCCACACCACCAGCGGGATCTCGACCCACGGCACTTCACATATCAGTGCACATGTGGGGAAAAAAGTGGAGGAGTAGGGATTTGAACCCTAGACATTTCGCATGCGAAGCGAACACTCTACCCCTGAGCTACACCCCCATCCGTTGAGACAAGTGTATTCGCTACACGGGTAACGCGGTCGCCCCGATCTAGTTGGTATCCTCGTAGCCTTCTAGTGGCCAGGGTCAGGGCTTTGAATCCCGGCGTAGGCTAGGCGGGCAGTTTCTTGCAAAGTGAGGTATTTCTCTCGCTTCGGTTCCTGGTACTGGAAAGCGCTCATGATACTGTAATAGTTCGTGTGTACACGTTGAGGCAAGAGAGTGCCGTGCTGCCCTCTTCTCGGGTAAAAATTGGAAGGCAAGCAGCGCAGGAGGGGTGAAAGGAGAGGAACCCTTCTGCTGTTTGACCACGGGTTGGAGCCAGCTCCCATCCGGCAGAAATGCTGTGAGCGGCGAGCGCGGATTCAATATTTTTTATTTTTTGTTGCCTTCACATTAAAAACCGTAAAACACAAAAAACACACCCACACCACCAGCGGGATCTCGACCCACGGCACTTCATATGTCAGTGCACATGTGGGGAAAAAAGTGGAGGAGTAGGGATTTGAACCCTAGACATTTCGCATGCGAAGCGAACACTCTACCCCTGAGCTACACCCCCATCCGTTGAGACAAGTGTATTCGCTACACGGGTAACGCGGTCGCCCCGATCTAGTTGGTATCCTCGTAGCCTTCTAGTGGCCAGGGTCAGGGCTTTGAATCCCGGCGTAGGCTAGGCGGGCAGTTTCTTGCAAAGTGAGGTGTTTCTCTCGCTTCGGTTCCTGGTACTGGAAAGCGCTCATGATACTGTAATAGTTCGTGTGTACACGTTGAGGCAAGAGAGTGCCGTGCTGCCCTCTTCTTGGGTAAAAATTGGAAGGCAAGCAGCGCAGGAGGGGTGAAAGGAGAGGAACCCTTCTGCTGTTTGACCACGGGTTGGAGCCAGCTCCCATCCGGCAGAAATGCTGTGAGCGGCGAGCGCGGATTCAAAGTTTTTTATTTTTTGTTTGTTGCCTTCACATTAAAAACCGTAAAACACAAAAAACACACCCACACCACCAGCGGGATCTCGACCCACGGCACTTCACATATCAGTGCACATGTGGGGAAAAAAGTGGAGGAGTAGGGATTTGAACCCTAGACATTTCGCATGCGAAGCGAACACTCTACCCCTGAGCTACACCCCCATCTGTTGGGTACTGTAGGATTTGGTGGATCGATAACCATAGCGCAAAACAGACAAAAAAACACCCGCACCACGGCGGGACCTCGACCCGTGGCATTTTCGTGACACAGACGCACGGAGCCCTCGGCGCAAACGCCCAAAAGGCGAGAGAGAGAGAGAGAGAGGAGAGAAAGAGAGGGACAGAGAAAGAGGGAGAGACGCACCTGAGCTAGCCGGTGAGCCCTCGCGCCCGCCTTGTTGCAGCCCATGATGCACCCGAGCTTGAAGATGTTCGTGATTCCCACGATCTCCAGCAGCCCTGACGGCGGCAAATACATGGTACGGTATTGGGCAAAGTAAAAAATAATTGATCGCCTGGATCACTCGACAGTGACAGCAACATCAACCTCGGTGGCGACACCAACACAACATCAGCGATAAAGACGACAAAGATGAGGGGTCCAAACCCATTCGATGAGCAAGAGAAAAACAACGAATGACAGAAAACTGATCGCCTGTAACACTTGGTGGTGACATGAACAACATCAACGATAACGAAGACGACGAGGCCCAAAAAAAACTTCAGGGAATACGATGCATGACAACACGCACGACAAGACCAGCCGAGCTGGTGACCGCAAAGAACAACAAAATGCTGGCCAATGTCTGGAAGAACATGGCGAGACACAACATGGACGCATTCTGCGCATGTGCGACGAACCTCCGACCTCCCCACCTCCAACACCTCTCTTTTTTCTCTTTACGAAAACGCCTCCTGGGTACAGTACAGCACTGGTCGCTCACCGTCATCCGGAGCGGCCTTGGCGAATTGCTTCTGCGAGCACCCGGGCTGCGCAGTGCCCCACAGATTGCGTCCTCCTGAGTTGACAAAAACAACGCGGGCACCAGAGGACAAGCATCAACCACCTCTTACACTGGTACACACTAACTACGCCGCTTTCTTAACGCAGACACCACAAAGATACTGCCGGCATTATGTTGACAAGGAACACGCGAAAGGAACGACACGACATCCACGCAGTCGGCGGGGAAAGGGCGCAGGCGACGGGGTTCACTACTGCCGTCAACCTCTGCCAAGATGATGCTTATACCGTCGTTCCCGCTGCCACTGCCCCTAGTGGGAACAACAAATCTCGGTACTAGGGCGCTCCTGCGGTCACCACTCACGTCTCTCCAACAAAACTCTTTACCTTTCCCGCCCGACGCGCTTCGCCCCCTCCCCCCTCGGTGCAAAGAACGACCGCTAGTTTGAACAAACTTACGGGCAGCGAACAACATCAGTCCGCGGACACCCCCTCCCCCCCTCCCCCCCTTCCGCAAGGTGCCCCGAAAAAAAAGGCCCACCTCCGTAGCTCTGCAGGTTAAGCACGACCACTCCCCTGAGAGTGTTGTCCAGCTCCAAGGTCTCCCAGTCGCTGCTCGGTGTGCTCTTCACTCGGAGCTCGAGGTACTTGGACACCGGCGGGGGCGGGGGCTGAGAACCGCACGGGATGCCCCCCGCTGCCGGGAAGCCTTTCCTCGCGTACCAGACCTGATTCCTGCCGAATATCACCATTTGTCGGCAAACAGCGCGCGGAAGCGGCGAGGCTCGAGTAGTCCATTCGGCGAGTAGAAGCGCCTACTTTATAGCTTTAGTCCTTTTCCATAATCTAAGCAACAGCAGCACTGATAAGAAGCAACACGCGAGGGCGCACGTCTCTTCAGCCTCAACGGCTTTGATCCTTGCATGTTCTACACCACACACCCCTGTTTCCTGTAAATTAGCTGCCGCCCGAAAGGCTCGAGACTCACCGAAACCTGCTGGTGAAGAGCTGCGGGTACGCTTGTCTGTGCTCGTGGAACGCCGAAGCTGCGATAGCGTCCACCCCAAAGCTGAAATAGTTGCAGAAAACTGCGTCGTAGCTCTCCCAGGTCTACCGGGCGAGAGGAAAAATAATCGGAGCGGAGGGGATTCAGGGAAAAGCGGGTGCGTAGATGCAAGAACCAGGCTACAAGTTCACCAACATTCCCAACCGGTGAACGGAGTTAGGGAGTGGGTTTCCATTCTACCATTCACGGACCCTACCCCAATACTGTGCCCTACATGCGCTACGGTAGTGCTTGCGTTATCTGCTCTACCAGCCGATGTAAACCTTTCCTTTGTCGGGGGAGGACATTCGACCGTTCTCGATTTGACTCTCAAGCTCTGGTCAGCTTTCTTCACACCGACCGAACTGGGCAACAACAACAACAACAACATAATGACCTCTGCACAAATGAAGGGCGGGGGTCCGTGCCGGGCAGGCTTAGCTCATGCCCATCATATGTGACTACGCCCGTAAATCAAATTTCCGATACGACAATGACGCGCATCGGCACCCCCCCCGAGGGCGCACGACACCAAGATACCTCTCGCCCCGTACTGTACAACACTACGACTACGTTGGCATAAAAAAAAACATCATTTCCTACATATATATCCTGGTTTCCACAGTTGGCAAAAAAGAAAAAAACACGCCGCTGGCACAACAGCGCGGAAAACAACAAAACATGTAGGCATACACGTAACAACACCGACATCCCCCGCCCACGCAACAAAAACATAACACAAACGCCGACCCCTCTGTACGACCGCCAGGAGGACTACGATATCAACGCCGTTTCGAAAAGGTACATATCAATACGGACAGAAATTCCTTGCTAAAAAACAAATACACGTCTCACCTCGAATCGCTGAATGACGCTGATGGACGGCATTGCCCGTGGGCCCATCCGTCGCGGCTGGCTGTCCGTCTGCACCGCGGCCTCAAGGATGCCATCCGCGGCGGCGGCGGCGGCACCACCGTCCTCCCCCTCCTCGTCAATCGGCGTCTTCTCCTCCCCAGCCCTCGCCGCTTTGGCCGCCACCCTGGCCGCCACCGTCGCCGCCGCGCCCCGAGCCACGTTAGCTTCTCTCTCGGCGGCCTCTTCGGCTGCTTTCCCCTCGTCTTGCCCCGCAGGAGCAACGACCGCCGTCTTTCCCTCCTCCGCGCTCCCCGAGGCGGGCTCCGAGGCCACCGGTGTCTCCTCGACACCGCCGCCGCCGCCGCCGCCGCCGCCGCCACTACCACCCTCCACACCACCGGTGGTCGTGGCGCCTAGGTTTTCTACCGCCGTCGGATCCGCCCCTCCTTCCTGCGGAGTTTCTTCCGCTTCCACCGCTGCCACTACCGCTGCCGCTGCCGCGGCCGTGCCGCCCTCTTTCTTCGCCGTGCCTTCTGCGGCTTTGCCATCACTCGCCTTCGACGTGACTTCCACCACCGGAGAAGACGGACCAGAAGAAGACCCGACCGAGCTGCTCGCCTCCTCCTCCTCCTCCCTGTCCGGCACGTCGACCACCTCCCCGACCGTCGGCATCGCCACCACCCCCGCGCTGCCGCCGCCGCCGCCGCCGCCGCCGCCGCCGCCCGCGTTCCCGCCGCTGTACCGCAGCGCCGGCGGGGCGCTCGACGCTCTCGCCATCATGCTCGGGCCCCCCGCCGCCCCGCCGCCGCCGCCGGCACCGGCACCGGCTCCCGTAATCGAAGACCTCTCGGACTTGAAGAACGGACGTCGAAAAACGCAGCACGCCGAAAAGACGGCGGGTTACAACGGTTTTGCGGGGTCACGACAGGTGGGGACACAGCCGGGGCGGGGTAGGGGGGAGTGTTGCGGCTGCCGAACTCTACGGACGTAATTCTCGGGCCTGCTGCGGGTGTCAAGAGAGGTTGACAAAAAATTCTGGAGACTACGGCACGTGGTATTTGATTCTTTGATACTCTGTACCCCGAAAGTGGTGAATGATCGCCATTATAGTCTGCTGTGGAGGAGTATTACAGCCTGCAAGCCCTGGCAAAATTGTTCGGGCGAGAGCCGTTCTGTTGTGATTCTTTTGCGGGATCTCCAATGTAGGGGGAACAACGAACTCTAGCGAGTCCGTAAGGCAAGTTGCCTTTTTGGTAGATGAATAATTTCCTTCACACCGACTCATCTCTCTTCTCTCTCTCTCTCTCTCTCTCTCTCTCTCTCTCTCTCTCTCTCTCTCAACCTGGTATTTATCTCTCTCCGCCCCTCCTCTCTCTCGCGCCCCCCTCTCCCCCCCTCCCCGACTCTCTTGCCCACCTCCGCCGCCGTCTCCTCCGTCTTGAACTCCCCCCCAAAGGCGCTCGCCGCGCCGAAACTTCCCCGGAACCCTCCTTCAACGTCGCCGTGTCGAGAGCTTGCCAGGCTTCGCGATCCTTGCGACGAGCTGCGGTTCATCTCGTCCTCGTGCACCGATTTCGCTATGTTTGGGTGGGGGGCATCGTATTACGAGGTTCGGTTTTCCCAAAGTAATTTGGAACCGGGGCCAGTAGTCAGAGCCGGTTGAGAGAGGGGAGGCGGGGCATCGAGGGGGTGGGGGGTGGGTGGGGATGAAATTCAGACATACTAGGGAGAAGGAAAACAAGCGCAAGTGATTTTGGACAGACTAATTTCGCACAAAAATACCAGCGTGTCACTTGGAGGCGTGTTTCGAGATGCAGCATTGACAGAAGAGGGCGCCCATTGGGCGCCCAGCATTCGACGGCAAAACTCTCCTTCTGCGCCACGTCCACGTGTTGAAAAGCTCAACCGCAGCGCTTATTCCGCCGTTGGTGTGCTAGAAACGCATCTTCGCGTCGGTGAGCACTAAATATCCTCCTCGTAGGAGGAGTGTATGACGACAAACACGTTCAAGCATCCCTCCAACGGTAAACAGGTGAATAACAACACCGCCATTTTCCACGTCTTCACAGAAGCGCAGCCTTCACAACAGGCAGTCGGTATCTTCACTGTTTAACTGCGGCAAAAGAAAAAAAAAACAGAGGTAGCTCACCTTGCGACGACATCTTCACGGAGAAGCTCCTGCCTATCCTCAGCACGCTCTGGGTCCGCTTGTGCTCAGACGCATCGTTCATTACCGCCCCCGCCAAGTCTTGTCCCCCCCCGATGGGGTCTCCAATCGCAGAGGCGTACCTGTGGAGGCTGAAGGTCGGGGGGATCTTGGTTGACTTCACCTTTGCCTCGGAGCCCAGTGGCTCGTACGGCATCACGGACAGCAACCACCTTCCGGGACAAAGGGGGACACCGCAGGAAGAGGGGGTAAGAGGAGAGGGTAGGGTTCGGGCATGTGAGGGATCGACCAACCATGTCGGTGGCGCGGGGTGCGACAAACAACGTTTTTCTCCCGGGAAGGGGGGCTTGGCTTGGATGCTGGCATCGGGTTCGGTTGAGAGTACGCGCAGGGCCGTGTGCTTATGGCGTGGGCTCTCTCTATCTCATTCTGTCTGTCTCTGCGAACCACGGCAGACGACGGCGGGGCCTGCTGCCTGTCTGCCTGCTACGCATGCACAACAACAACAACAACAACAACAACAACATTGTCCGCTGCCGCGACCCCCCCCAAAAAACTCCCTCATACCTGTCGAGCCTCGCGGCGGGGGCCTCCTTCACCCGATCGAGAAACTTGGGCTTGAGCATGGCCCTCGTGAATCCCGGGCCCCACCCGAACGTCCTCGCCAAGTCGTTGCCTGATCGTTGATCGGTTGGTTAAATAATTGCCACGAGGAAAGAGGAGGAACGCAGAGGAGCTCACGACGTCGCCATCTTTGTACAGGTCTACGTGTAGGTCGTGCCAGGCTCGTGTTCACTGAACAGATTTCAACCCATCCCCTTCGACAGCAGTGGTACACACTATCTCGAAGGGGTGCAATACTCTTTCTCTGAGTGTATGTATATTATCTAACAAACAACAGAGCGCGCGCTGACAGGATCGTTCACCGTGATGTGCAACAACGCTCGGAAAAAACTCGCCGAGCCAGCCCTCATCCATACTTTCGCGAAGCGGCCCCCAGGGAACAACGCCTCGGCGTGCGAGGGAACAGAGAGAGACGCAACCCGGCAGCATCGACGTCCTGCCAACCAAAAGTACGGAACACACACCGAAAGAATCCCCGAAGAGGAGGCATATCAAACCCCACCCTCCCGCCAATCCTGCACTACAAACCTCACCACCCTAAAGCAGTTAGCCGTCTGTGCTCACCTGTCCCCAAGGGCATCATGGCCACGGGAAAATTCTCCTCTTGTGATACAGAAGGGCTCGGCTCCGCCGCCATGCGCAAGCGGTCGATGCACGACAGGATCCAGCCCATCGTCCCGTCCCCCCCGCAGATCAGGACCTTCGGAAGCGGTGGAGCATGGCAAAGTATGCATATGGAGCTAGATGACGCCACTGAAAACAGGATGAAACGCTTTCACGACAGAGGCTGTCGTTTGGATTGTTCGAGACCACGCTCACGCGGGGGCCGGGGATATATAGCAATTCCGAATCCCAAGCTGTGCGCATGTACAAGCTCGCACTAGGGGATCTCCCGTGTCACTGGCGGTGTAAGCACATCAGACATGAGTACAAAACGCTGCTCTTTGGCCTTAATTCCGTTCGAGAATCTGGACCAAAGCAGTATTTAGCAGTGATGCCCATCCAAGACGGTTGCCAACCCGATTCAGTACCCCGAGCGCCGTCTGTCGCCCGCGGTGTATGCCCGACGCCAAAGACACCAAACGGCAAGACGTGAACGAATTCAGACACGAAAACCAGAGCGGAGCAGCTCAGTGCTCGGTCCTGCAACGTGTCGGCCGCCTGTCGCACAGCTCTTGTAAGCAACACCACCGAAGCGCCAGGGGCAGACAGCAGGAGCAGACACATAAACTACGTGATTGTTGTGAGCGGACGAACTCTCTGGCTCTTCCGTGGCATAGCTTAACTTTACAAGCAGGCACAACTTTGCTGCTTGCTCCTAACCGCCGCGGTCTAACTTTAGAATTTGGTCGGCCGTACGGTGACAAGAGGTATCTCACACCCCCTGGACCCGACTTTCAAAACCCGATTACTCCACAGAAGAGAGCGTGGCGGTGCCGAGAACGGTAGCGTTCGAACCGCCTTGTACGCGTGTACGTACAGCAGTATCGTGTGCTTTACTTGGTGTAATACCCTCTTGTCGTTGTGGAGTAGTTCATGAAGCTGACCGCCATAACAGACAGTCATCCCCACTACTATTATAATACTGCTGTAGCACAGGAGATGAAAAGGACATCCGTAGAGATGTAGTACGCAACTTGGACACTGGGAAATCGCTACCATATGTAGCATCGGTTGCTTTCCAGTCGTAGATACCTTTGTGTCCTTGGTGTGCTGGAAAAGCTTGAGCTTGTCTTCAGGCTTCCACCTGCCCTGGCCGACCTCCTGCAGATCGAACAACCTGGCAGGGTGCGAGCCAAGAGCACACGACACAGCACACCACAAGACCAACCGCGGCGTTGCAACGGCCAGCGTGGGGTGAATGAATGGGCACACGACACATAGCATTCGAGCAAAACCACATTATCAAGAACGCGAAGCCTGCGATACAGAGGCACCACGCGTCTTCCACCCCGCCCGCGGGTGCTGGCTGCATGTGCTTCCCCACTAATAAAACTGGCATAATATGAATGGGCAACTATTGTACAAGTTGGGACTCACTGCGACTCCGGGATGAGGGCTCGAATTTTCTCCAGCACTTTGGGGCCCATCTTTCCGCCGCTAGCGGAGTTGAGAAATACGAGCACAGGCGATGCTGGCGTAGTAGTGGATGCAGCGTCGGCAGGTGGCCCCACTTGCAGAGCTTCTTCAGCGGTCGAAGAAGAATCAGGCTGCTGCTGGAGTTGTAGTTGTTGCGCCTCTTCCTGCTGTGGATCAACTTTGAGCTCGCCGTTATCCATGGCGACGTTGTCACCCATTTTTTCTCTCACCAACACCGTCCCTTTCGAACGGACGGGCAGTAATCAGGTCGTGTGTCTCTGTTTTCAAAGCAAGAGAGAGTAAGGTGGGAGGGCAGAGATGAACACCAATGTGTGAGGAGAGAACAGCACACAGGATCCCTATGACAAAAGGCGGTGCGGTGCTTCGACGACGGGGTGCTATTGTCCGTCACAAAGAAGTCTACTTGTACAAGATAGCGACTTGTTGTCCCAACGCCGTTGATCAATATAGAGACGCACCCACATTGCACTCACCAGCCTCGCTGCTGGGGTAACGAAAGAGCACTCAAGTCTCACAGCGGTCGCATTGCCTGCCTTGGCAAATTCGTGTTGATTTCTCGGCGAGGCGGGGGGGTCGCCTGATCAACGAGAGCCGTACCTCAGGGGGTAATAGGTTACCGCCTCAAAACGGCCCGCTTATTCATAGATTGTATGACGGATAATAGCACCCCTGTTTATTTCACAAGAGATGGTTTGATGCTCTTGTCCTCTGTGGGGACGACAAACGAAAGATCGTCGAGGCCAAATACAGCAGCAGATCCCCCCCCCCTCCTCTCTCTTTCCCTTGTGTTTGGAGAACAGCCTGGAAATTGAAGTCGGTGAGAACCCAACACCTCCAACAAGATCGCTCGTTGTGGTGAAGGAATCAGTACAATACAAGCGGTGGTAGCTGCTGCTGATGATGAATACCACCCCCCCCATCTTTCGCTGATGATGGATTTTCTTTTTTTTTTCACAAAAAAACACCCTCCTTCATCCAAGACACAATCAATCCACAATAAGAAGGGCACACCCGATCGTCTTTCACAATACACAGTTGGCTTCCGCACAAAACGTCGGGAGGAAAGCGACTACCTAAGGATCAGGCCGCAGCACCAGCTCGAATCTACGGCGCGCGTTCATCCTTTATTCGCGCCAAAGCGCCGCGCGCGCGCGTGCGCTCTTGTGTCTTTTACCCGTCAAAAAAATCCTTGCTCTGTGAATGTCGCGGAGAACGAATTGGGAGCAAGGTGTGTGACTTGCTCGTCGCCCCAACGGTGGGGAGGGGATTGAAGAAGCGAGAGGAGAGAGGGGCGCCGGCCAGGGAGGAAGAGCAGGTGCGGGCGTGTATTTGAGCGGTCCACGTCGTGGTTGGCTCCTCGGCGCGGCGGGCCGACTTCTTTACTTGGCAGCGGAATCAGATTTATGTGTGTTGTTGCAGCGGGGTGTAGTGGGTGTGTGAAGGGCTCAACTCTGTTCAGTGGACGAGTGTTTTTTCTCGCGTGTGATTATGGTTTGTGTTTTCAGCTCACAAAAGGAACGCACGCGACACGGGTGGTGGGTGCCTGGGAGTACCGCATCCCTGCTTCGCTCTCTCTCTCTCTCTCTCTCTCCCTCCCTCTATACATCAGTGCCTCTTCGCACCGCCACGCTGCGCCCGGCTATATTCTATACGACGACACAAAAAAGTTGCGAAAAAAAAATTGCGCATCTTTGGAGCGGAGTCACACACAGAGGAGGGAGCGACGAGACAGCTGGGACACACATCCGAACGTTACGAGAGAGCTGTTTTCTTGCGATAGGGGCATGCCACACGCCGCAGTGCGACAAGGTCCAGGGTAGAAGTCCCATTTGCGCCAGCTACCCTCGTTTGTCAGCGGGGCTGCGACAGAACGGGGCAAGCAGTACGTACTAGTATTAGCAGCGTTTCCGCTGCCTGCGGATGGCTTGCTTGCTGTTTTTTTTTCCCTCCTGTCGCTCTCTCTCTCTCTCGCTGTGTGTGATGTGCGGCCCGCAAAGAGAGCCTCTCAACGGCGCCATCATTCCTTGGCGAGCAACAACCGCGGCCCCCGTCGGCGCCGGTTTTGTTGCCACGACGCGCGTAGCGCGGCGGCGGCGGCGGTGCCGTAAGGAAGAGGGGGCGTGGCGAGGCGCAACCCACACACTCTCGCGCGGCGGCGCGTTAGAAATCCTCGCCAGAGCAATGATACCTGTACCGTTTTTTTTCGGTTAGGCCCCTGCTACATACAGCTGATCAGATCTCGCGGTGTTTAGCCAGAGGCGTGGATACCCACCCCCAGATGTCTCTCGCTGTGACGAACAGCGGCGACTGCGGTGTTACCTACCCGGCGGAGCTTACAGGAGCCACGCCCCCCCCAGAGGGACGTTGATGCTCCCCGTTCACAATGTCTCCACGGACAAACCCTTGTGAGTGAGTTGTAGATACAAGAAAGGAGATTTCGGGCTTCTTGCGCATACCGATATGTATGACACTTGTCAGTCAAACAAGCAAGTGAGGCAACGCAAGGCACACCCTCCCTCCTGTTGTTCGTATCTTGACAAACCAACACGCCTGTTGGCGGGCTTGAGGGCACAACACTGCTCGCTTCCGAGCCAAAGCTCAAACTGAAGGAGACATGCGTGCATCGCACAGCAGGAGGAGCACTTTTGCGTGGAGCCAGGTCGGAGCGCTAGGCTCCAGGGGTTGGAGTATATATTGTAGTAGAGGCAAAAAGCCGGCTAGACTACTTGCAGAGGTGCTCGACGAACGGCACAAAAAAAAAATGTGTCGCCTGATTTACTATTTACTGCTGTGTGCACCTGTATGCTGCATATGCAGTAGTCTATGTATGATACGTACAACAGTTTGTCCACCAGTTTAGGCGGTTCAGGGCATACAGACGCACCATTACACTAGAGTGAGATCCTCTTATTTTTGTATGCATACGAGTGGGCGTACGTTGTAGAAGGTCAAGTTCTACAGTAATTATTAATTTGTACAAAATGCTTGAAGGTTCGGAAGCAAGTGGGTACGTATGCATACTAAAATGCAGTTGTTGTGCTACAATATCCCCGGTGGCGGCGTAAAAAAATGCAGACGCTCTTGCTGTTGTCACCCTTGCGTGGAGGTTGTCTTGATTGTCCGTGTGCGTTTGTCCTACGTACGGATGAGTGTGGCACGCCCTTCTTTGCAATGGTCTGCGCCCGTTTCGGCAATCAATCGACTGCTGTGTTTCCTCTTTTTCGCGATCCAAAGTTAATTGTTTTTTGTTGGAATCCTCCTGCATGCACACTTATGTAGATGCACACATGCACACACACAGCCGGTTAGCGGGGTCGATGCTAGTAACAAAGACACACACGGGGCCTGTGCCCCGGGCAATCACCACGCGTCGCGGCCAGCTGCATCGCGCGTGTTGACTGCCTGCCGTCACTGCTGAGCCAGGAGTGTTTGGGGGGCAGACTCTCCACTGGCATGTATGGTTAAGGCCGTAGTCGCGTTTTTGATTGGCTCTCTTCGGTTGTGCCATTGGATTGAAATCCTACACACAGCAGCGTGCCCGCACTTCCATTAAGAATCTGTAGTTTTGGCAGTGCTCGGGGTGCTGAGTTCCAGGGTTTGCTACGCTATGTAGATACAAGTTTAGTGTAGGGACCGAATGATGTTTACATTCTCAGATATAGAGTTTTTCGAGGCTATGTCAATTTCTTGGGTGCCAAGTTCTTGGAAGTGCTGGCGCTATCATGACGGTACTCGCAGCAACCGGTAGCTCACCGCGCTCCGAGATCGCACGAAGAGCGAACCTCGCAGCTGCCGTGTAAGCAACTACCGGCTGACGCCGAAGAGACGTCCGTGGGAATGCTTTCAAACGTTTCAGTTGCCTACAACCGCGGTGTCGGTCGGTCAGCTTGCTTGCGATCCACACCGGCGCTGTATCCAGGTGTATGCGGGTAGACGTACAGCAGTACTGAGACGCCGTCGACCTAGTAAATAAGTAAGTGTTGGTCGTCGTCCCGACTCCGGAAACGACGCTGCATCTTGACACACAATGCACTACGATGACCACGACGGGCGGACATCGGCAGCCGAACGCCCCCTCCCCCGCCTCTCTCTCGCTTGCTTGTATCGCGAGGCGGGGCTGCCGCTACTTGCTGGTCTACGGAGGATAACACAAATTGCAAAGAATCGCGTCTCGATTTTTTTTAGCACACACACTAAAGTCAAGGGTCTATCGACAGGGGAGGCGCAGGAGTTGGACGACAGAGTCCTGCTTCTGGAGCCCCAACACTCCCAGACAACATTTGCGCCACTAATGAAGAAAAAATCGCACACACACACCGGCGACGAGGGAGCAGACTAAATAGACCCGACCTACCCCGCGTGACTTCGCCACAAAATGCTTATTTGTGCGCCCGCCGGACCCCCCCCCCCCGCTCCTTCTTGTCTTCTCTTGTTTCCACACCGCGCGCGGTTCGTTCTTGTTCAGAGGGGACCGGGGTCAAGAGAGGAAGAGGGGAGGGGAGAGGAGGACGATCATCCCCCCGAGGGGTAGAACGAGTCTCGAGGACAAGGCGGCCAGCATGAGCGGTTCCCGGACGACTTCAGCAGAGCTGTGGTCGAGAGACACAGACCTGGTCCTTCGGGATCTCGTGCTGAGGTCCAGCGAGGAAATTAACTGGAACCAGATCGCGACGGCCATCGAGTGGGACTCCGGGGCCGTTACCCCCAGCGAGTGCAGGGAAAGGTAAACACGCGCCGCCGCCGCCGCCGCCGTACAATGATGCGCGCGCTTGGGGTGTCTTTTGGGCCGCGTTCCCATGATCACTCTTTTCGTTGTCCGTCCCAGTTTTTTTTTTTTCTTTTACATTTCATGGTTTTGTGTTTCGTCACGACCAGAATTAGTTCATGTGTGCGCTCCGAGGATCACCAGATTTTTTTGTATATTTTTCCGTTATATATCGTAGAGGTTGTTTATTGGGATTGCTTAAACGAACATTACATTCGAACTTCAATATTCTAGTATTTGCTCACGTGTGTGATCAGAACCGCGTCACATCTGAACAGCTTGATGTAACGGTTCTCGTCTTTTCGCTCCCCGTGCAGAGAGCCCTACCTCCCTCCCGTTTTGTTGTTCCTTCTTTTTCTGCGCGAATCATTCAATACATACGATAGCATGTTCGCCTACCTGTACCCTACGGCGGTATTTAACTTTTTGCTTTTGCGTGCTCTCGGCCGGCGGGCGGCTCCCGCGCCCGGTGTGGATTGGATTGGTTGATTCAGGTGGAACTACGTGAAGGAAACGCCCGTGAAGGGCCCGTGGTCATCCGAGGAGGACGATCACCTTAAGCGCCTCGTCGACGAGTTCGGATCTAAGAAGTGGTGAGCCCCCCCCCCCCCCCCCCCGCCCTTGG